TGTCAGGATGCGCCCGTTGAAGGGCTTTTTCATTCAGAGGCATCATTGGGCATCAATTATCTCAATCGCATTTATGTTTTAGCCCTAAATGAACAGTAACATGACGTCCAAGTGCCCGCCCTTAAATGGAAAATGCAATACGCTTCGCTTTCCTGTGCAATTTTAAATTTCCCGAATAACAAAACAAAGCGAACCCGAGGAAAAAAAAACCGGAGATGACACGAGACAAAAGGCATTTGCATTTTTCACCCATTTAAAGACCCTGCAGAAGGGCATAGCTGATCGTCTATAGCTGATGTGCTGATTCGCAGAGCTGGAAGTTTCCTGATGCACAATTTTTGCTCCCATTTTGTTGCTGATCCAGGACAGAGCACAGGAACTGCACCTGGAATCTACTCTTAGTTGCTGTTTGGCATAGCCTTGACCATTATTTAACATCTTAGAGCTTAGATTTTCAGAATTCAGAAACATTTCTGAATCGCTTAGCTTCCTTATGGTTCCCAAGTGTGATCCACTCCCACGCTTTGGCCTTAAATACAACTTTCACAACTCTCCTCAAGCGTATATAATCTTCGGCACTGGTTTATTTTGGAAATTGAATCATTTATCTATAAACAAGACCGTGGGTGTACGGTGTCGAGGGGATCGTAGAAATCGATAAATGAAACGAGCAGAAAAAATGTGCAGCAACAACAAAAAGGTCCCGAAACATCAGAACTGAAACGGCATTTCAATCAGCAAACAAAAGTGTTGCATTGAAAATGGAAACGCAGAATGGGGCTGGGGTTGGGGTTGGGGAACGAAATGAGTATTGGAATCGGGAATGGAATGGTTTTGTTGCAAAGCCCTGGATTCTGGTTGTGCCTCTGGAACTGATTCGGCATCGGATTCTGATTCTGGTTGAGCTTTTGTGGGTTTTGTTTCTGTTTTATTTCGAAATTTTATTCTTTCTTTTAGCTTGTTTGTAGTTGTTGCTGTTGGCCAACAAAATGTTTTCACACCAACTTGGCCCGTTGAGGGGTTTTTTCTGGGCATTTAGCTCTCTGTTTTGTGATTTATTCGATGCCCGATGTCGGTTGGCTGCCAGAGAGTGGAATTCACTTGATATTTGCTTCTATTTGCTTTTTGTTTCAATTAAAAAACTCAACTTTAATCAATCAGCAGAGTCCGGTGACGGAAATTGACAAAATTCAACGCAATACTCGTAGTAGATGTTGGCGCTTTAAAATATGGAAGGATGGAAGGGGGTAGGGAGGATGGCTGGATGCATTTAAATGCATTTTAAGATGAACAACTGCAGGGACATAGTCGATAGTCGTTGGTCGTCAATGGCCGATAGTTGGGTTGGGAGCTCGTGTCCACAATTGGTTTTCCATCAAACAAATTGAAACACTCACTCACCGGCCTGGCCTGGCCTGGCCGTCTGGACACCGTCTCTCTCCGGACTGCACTTAACTTAAAAACGTTTCATTTTATACGACCCCAGCAATACCCAATGCTCACCCACCTCCTATATGGTTTTTGTTTCGTCCCCTTTGGGACTTTGCTCATGGGTTGCGGTTCTAGTGGTGGCTCTGGTGTTGGTGGTGTTGGTGGTGTTTTCGGTGATGGCGGGGTTGCGGATTGCTGGCCATAAAGTATGCAACTTCATTGATAACATTTATTTCAAATGCACTCAAAAACCACTCAATAGTATGAAATTTGTTGCAGTTTATATACCTGGAGCACACACACACTCACACACTCACACGCGGGACACATGAGAGCTCCATTCAGTTATGGGCCCCATCCCTGTGGAGGCTTCAGGAGCGTGCTCGTATCGCATGTCGCCTCGCCAGCCCTGGCAAATGAGCATACAGATGGATAGAGGTGTGTGCCAGGTGTGTGTGTGTTTGCTATGCATTCGTGTAACTGGAAGGAAACAACATGAGAACACCTCGTAGATTCGTGGAAATTAACTTATGGATACCTCTTCTAAATCAAAAATATACTTTAATTGGTAAGTGGACATTTTTCTATTTATTCTTCAAAAGTACATATTGTACATCTATTAATGGGATCTTGTGGGATACTTTCTTCTCTCTTGCCTGAAACTTTTTTCCTTGATCTCTTCGGCTGTTGTGACAGCTGTGGATACCCCAGCAATCAATGGTCGTTAGTCGCTGTATAAATAGTTCTTTATTATATTTCCCATATGCTTTGCATGTCTGTCTGGCTGCCAGGTTGCCCTATCGATGGTTGTGCTCTGTGCCCTCTCCCCACTTGTAAAGGATGTAACAATATATTCTGCTTTTGTGTTACATAAATTTCATTGAAGTGCTTCCATTCATGGCCCCATCGATGCGGATGTGTGTGTGTGTGTGGGAGTGCATACAGAACTCTATAAATATTCCACAGGGGAGATCAGAGAGCGAAAGAGGCATAGGCAAACGGAAGCATGAGCAGATTCAAGGATGTTCGTAGGGAGCGGCCCAGCTGCCACGTGCCTACTCGGTTGACATTCAATTAAACTAAACCTGGTGCAAGTCCCAGGAGACTGCCACAAGCTCTGCACTAACCTTGGAGTCACTCCTCCAAGCGTCTCTCCGCCACATTTAAGCCTTCGTCTGCCTCTTGAAATTCTTTTCCCTGTTCACTTGTGTATCTCTTTGGCCACACAAATTCTACATTCTTGTTTAATTGCGAGCATTTCCACATACACACATATTTATGCTGCCTTTTTACTCTTGCCTCTGGCTCACTCTTTTCATTAATGGCACTCTCTGGTATTTTATGGGAAATATGCAAAACCTATAAAGGAATTGTTTCTTTCAATTACAGCATAAATGTGGCAATGGGATAATTTTATCTTAAGTTTTGTTAAACCGATTGATTTGATCTATTTTTGTTTTTAATTTGTTTTCATCATAAAATACTCACGTTGATAATTTAAAATATCTCCAACTAATCAGAGCTCGTCCCTGGCAGCACTGCTGATTATATTTTTAGCTTTTTGTTTGATTTTCCGAACCATATTAGGCCGATGCAGGGTAATGCAGCCAGGCAATTATAACTTATTCTCTTTCTAATTGAATGAACCATTCCATGCCCTATGGGGGGTTGGCTGAAAGTCTGTTCATTAGCACACAATATGCCAGTTATTGCACATTGATATAGGGAATATATATACATATTTCGTAGCTGTTTGGTATGAATAGTTATGTTGGCTGCCAGCCTTTGGCCATGTTTATGTGGCAATATTGTGTATTGTCTGGGCTGAATACCTAAATACCTAAAATATGGCCATTCCACCTTGTCAGGGTCGAATTTTGCATAAATTAAAGTGGGCGAGTGGGCGTGTGGCGAGTGAGGGGGGAATTCTATGCACAAATGTTTTGCAAACTAAAATAAATGTATGTGTACTCGTCTGATTACCAGCCCAACAAGAATAAAGATAGAGAAATGGTGAAAATCTGACCTACATTTTGCACAGATTGCGACACATGCAAAAGTGCAATTTCATTAAATATCCAAAAGCCAAAAACAATGAGAGTGAGTGCACAGATAACAAATTACTTGCTATGAATAATAATAGAGTGCAATGTTCCCCTTACAATACCGCCCCTCTAGCCGCTCTCTGTAATGCCCAATCTTCTTATGGCATAACTGTAATGAATATCAGATGATGATGGCAGAACGACGACTGCGGAGGAGGAAACGTTGACGTTGACAATGTTGACAATGTTGACAAGCCGATGAGCATAAAAGATATTTATATTGACCAGAGCAGTGCCATGGGTACCTCCGCGAAGGTCCGTTCTGGAAAGCTAATTCTACAGACTCGTCTCGGATCTATTCGTGGGACCGTAAAATATATATGAAAAAATCGCTCATTAATTTCCCAAGAATTACCAAAGAAATCCGTACAGATTGTCAGTTCCAGAATCGTTTGCAAACAAAAAAGAAAGCTGAAAATAGCCAAAGCCAAACTGGGAAACAATGGGTAAAATTTCATTACCGGACGATGGGTGGATGTTGATCCACTCTCCGCTCTGCAGCTCCATTGCAAAGATGAGGACGCTGATGATTGGATAGACAGGAGAAGGAGGAGTTACTGCAATCTTGACGGGAATTGAAATTGAAAAGAAAATGAATGAAGTGCGCCACGGAGAGAGGCCATGATGCTACATGGACTACGGGAATTGGGAGTACGGCTTACTTGGCTCTGAGCTCAGTGCCGTCGTAGCACAGGACACTCGTCCTTGTCGTCCAGGCCCCACTCATTGCCATGTTGGCTGTCAACGCGACTATCTTGTACCTCCGCTCCCCCTGACTCCTCCTCTCTCTCTCTCTCTCTTTGGTCGTCCCCTGGTTGCAGCCATTAAAAAATATTATTCATTGAAATCGCAAGGCTTGGCACAAAAATGCCTGCGATGAGCTCTTGTAGCTACATGAAATGCAAGTGTCAAGAAAATCTCTCAATGGACTGAGCGACGTGGATGCAGAAAAGTAGGGGTTTAATGGGGGAGTCTCTTTGTCTGCAGCGGGTTGAGAAATTAACTTAAAATCAAGTCATCGCTCTAAAGCGATGATTAAGGGCAAACCTTAAAGTTCGAATGGAAATTAATGCGGAATAAATGATTTATCACCTTAAGCTCCCACATAGGTAAGAGTACATGACACTACTGGACAGCTGGACAGACCTTTGCCATTTAATGCCAGACCAGAACAGAAACGGTCCAAGGCAGTGAAGGAAAATTTGCACATGGCACTGCAGCCGCGCTGGATAATCACTTCACTCCTAAGCTCTAAGTGGAATATTCGCCCATAATTGCGATAATAGAAAAGAGCACATTTCAAGTTTTTATTCCCCGACCCTAAGCAGCCGAGCAGCTGTGAAATTCACGCCAATCCAGCGGAAACATTACCACCAGACCTTATCGTATAAGACTTCCATACAATCCTGCATAAGCTCATTCGTTCTGAACAGTTTGTATTGTAAGGTTTAGTCGTACTTAGAAATGCTCGAACAGCCTAGCGTTCGGGGTGGACTTGGCCTCATCGAGTCGTGGAACAATTTTATAAAGGGTTTTCGCGAACTCCCGACGATTTATAGGTGTGACGATGCCTGTCCTGAGCACTCAGTGCCATACTTGAGTCGACAACAGCTACAGTCAGTATAAAATCAAATTGCGGCAGCATTTATGATATCCAAATTCGCTTTATAGAGCCTTTGCATACTATCCAAGCTCGGAGGAAAGACGGCGTCCTGGTCGGAGCACTTGGCATCTGATTGCTGTGACTAGAGTGGCGATATTTTTCTGTTCCATATGTTACGCCCTCTTCGAATCCTTGGACGACATTGTGGAATTGGGTCGGGATCTCGCATTTATAATAGCGGTTCGAATGGACAGTTCTCTAATGACATACACATCACCTCAACGGCATTCATTTTTAGACATTTTTTATACTCTTCAAGATGGTATATTTCCTCCTGTACGCCGATGAGGTGGACGAGGTAATCGATGGCCTTGAGGAGTGCTATCGTTGTGAGACAAAGGGTCCACCTGCTGCAGAAGCGAGAGCTGTAAAACGTTTGCATTTTCTGCTGTTTATGGGATTGCAAATGGTTTGGATGGTCTTCATGGTCGTATTTATCATTCTTTTGCTTTCGGCACCTTTATGGACACAGCAGAACCTGCCCTTCCATGCTTCGTTCCCGTTCCATTTGCACGATCCATCGAGGCATCCAAAAACACACATTCTTATCTACTTTTCACAATGTATTGACAGTGTGTACTTCCTCATGTGGCTAGTATCTACCGAGGGATTGTCCGTCTCCATTTATTCTCAGCTCACGGCTACTCTCAATGTCTTGTGTATTGAGTTTCGGCATCTCCAGCAACTCTGCAATGGCGACCAGGATCTCCTACGCAGAGAGATCACCCGTCTGGTCACGTTTCATCAGAAAATAATTAGGTACGGTTCTGTTAAGCGTGTGAAGTAGTTGTCTTCTTTTTTTTTTGAATATTTGTTCAATATTTCAGTCTGGTTGATCGATGCAATGAGGTATTCCACGCACCCTTGATCATGCAAATGATTGTCAACTTTTTGCTGGTCTCCCTGTCAGTCTTTGAGGCAATGATGGCCAGGCATGACCCCAAAGTGGCAGGTCAGTTTATGGTTCTGATGATACTGGCCTTGGGGCACCTTTCGATGTGGTCGAAATTCGGTGATATGATGTCGCAAGAGTCGCTAGAATTGGCAGAGGCAGCCTACGCAGCGTATGACCCGAATGTTGGGTCCAAGGGGAGCCATAAGGATATCCGTCTTGTCATTCTGAGAGCTCAAGAGCCCCTAATTATGAGAGCAAGCCCCTTTCCGGCCTTCAATATGATAAACTACATGGCCGTGAGTTTGGTGGAGATGCTGTGTAAAACTACCTTAATTCATATCCCTTTAGATACTCAACCAGTGCTATGGAATCCTCACGCTTTTGCTGAATACTATGGAATAGATTCAACACAATCCTAGAGCTGATGTTAAATTAACGCACTTTTAGAGGCACTTTGCACTTGGCTTTACATCCATTTTGAATTCACTTGTAATGGACCGATTCTCATATTGAACGTACCCCTGGCCTGCTGTTACACCTTTCCATCTAAAACACACACAAATATAAGTGTGAGTGGTTTAGCACGTGGCTCATTATATCAATCACCAGGGAGAAGCTACGTAAAATGTACGTATTTGAATACGATAATAATTGTATTTGCAAAGACCTTTTTTCCCAGGCCCTTAGAAACAGCTGGCCAATTCTCGCCAATCGATTGCCAGAGGGAACATTACAACATGACGCATCTTGCCGCTTAAATACTCGACAAAGCCCTTTTCTTGGCTCATTCATTCTGCACACCTAGTACGAGTGATGCAAATACGCGCTCGAAGATGTTAGAACTGCCTAGTGAACGGGTCGGACTTGGTCTGAGAGATAAGTGGAGGAGTTTCCTGACACCGTATGTCAGATTCATGTATATTTATAAGCGTCCGGAGCAGTGTCCCGCGCACACAGTGCCATACCTAGACAGAGAACCGCTGAAGTCGGTTTAAAATAGAATTTTGGAGTTGGAAGTACATATAATAACTAGATTCGGTTTACAGAGCAATGGGATACTACCCAAACTCCAGGGAAAGCAGCATCAGTGGCCGCAGGACCTGGAATCTATTTCTTTTCATTAAGGGCACAATATTCTTCTGTTCAATATTGTACGCCGTATTCGAATCTCTGGACAATGCCGTAGAGCTGGGACGAGATCTCGCATTTATAATAGCGGTTAGAGTGGATAGATTTTGTTTCTTTATAAGCAACCCTTTATGGCTCTTTCTTTACAGTCGTTTTTTATATATTTCAAGTTGATTTATTTCCTCCTTTGTGCTGATATGGTGGACGAGGTAATCGATGGCCTGGAGGAGTGCTATCGTTGGGAGAGAACGGGTCCAGCTGCTGCAGGAGTGAGATCTGCAAATCGTTTGCACTACCTGATTATAATGGGAATGCAGATGATTTGGATGGTTTCAATGTTCGTCTTTATCGTCCTTTTGATTTCCACACCTTTATGGACACAGCAGGACCTGCCGTTCCATGCTTCGTACCCGTTCCACTTGCAGGATCCATCGAGGCATCCGAGAATACACATTCTCATCTACTTATCACAATGTTTCGACATTTTATACTTCCTCACGTGGCTCACCTGCACCGAATGCCTCTCCGTGTCCATTTATTCTCAGCTCACGGTTGCCCTGAGGGTCCTGTGTGTTGAGCTTCGGCATCTCCAGCAGCTCTGCAACGGTGACGAGGATCTCCTCCGAAGTGAGACCCGCCGTCTGGTCACATTTCATCAAAAGATAATCCGGTACGAATGTGTGCAACAACTAAAGCTTCATTTCCACTACAATGTTCAATATTTCAGTCTGGTTGATCGATGCAATGAGGTATTCCACGCACCCTTGATCATGCAAATGATTGTCAACTTTTTGCTGGTCTCCCTCTCTGTCTTTGAGGCTATGATGGCCAGGCATGACCCCAAAGTGGCTGCCGAGTTTATACTTTTGATGTTTCTGGCCTTGGGTCACCTTTCGATGTGGACAAAATTCGGGGATATGATGTCGCAGCAGTCGATTGAGGTGGCAGAGGCTGCCTACGAGGCGTATAACCCCAGCGTTGGCTCCAAGGGAATCTATTTTAATATTCGCTTCATAATTATGCGTGCACAGAAACCACTCATAATGAGAGCCATACCCTTTCCCACCTTCAATATGGCCAACTATAAGGCAGTGAGTTTGACCTAGTTTGACCATTTGAATGTTAGCACTTTCTGCCTCCTAACTATTCTTTCAGATACTCAACCAGTGCTATGGAATCCTCACGCTTTTGTTGAATACTTTGGATTAGATTAGACTAGATTTGATGACATGTATTTAGCTGCACTTGACTTTACGTGCAAGTTGCAGTTCTCTTGTAGTTAATCGATTCCCATATTAAGCTCCACTCTCTCCCCACCCCGCAAAGGCCTCGTTCAGGTGCTTTTTCACAGCTCTGACGGTTCGGGTTGCCATACTGTAATTAACCAGCTTTTGTTAACCGATTGCCATAATTGCTTTTTGTTAGTCGCACACAAATTTCCGTATATTTGCGTCTAATGTGCAACAGCCGCCAAAGATGGGGCAATGAATGGGGAAACACACGGCGGCAGTTCATGTTGCTCATGTTGCAGGCAGTGGCTGAGGCCCAGAGCTGATAAATTGGAAGTGCATTTGACGCTGAAACTCCACTGGCTGCCGCCTGCCGCCTGCCGGAGAAGATGTTACTCGTGGCACGTTGGTGTTGCCGTTGCTCCTAATACGGCTTCTGCTGCTGATGTTTGCTGTGTGTGTCTGCTGCATTTGCATTTGTTTCTGCTGCCGCTTGTTGCCGTTGTCATCTTTCTGCTGCCACATTGCCGCGACTCTCTGTTAATGAAAATGCCAGAGCAGGCAATACTGCTGCCACATCCGCTCGTTGTCTCATAAGCATGCCTCTCAATGGGCGGTGCCGTGGCCAAGTGTGTCCCTGGGCTTGCCAGCCCCTGCCACTGTCGTTTCTTCTGTCATGAGCGATGCCTTGGCCAAGTGTTGCTGCCGCACCGTGCCGGTGACAGCCGGAGAAGCAGCAGCAGCAGCAGCAACATCATCATCATCATCTGCATACATACTGCGACTATACGAATGGTACATGCAACAACAGCAGTTGCATCTCCTTGACGCTCCCGCCGCAACAGTCACGCTTGCTTGTCAAACACTCTCTGCCAGACTCTTACGAGCGTTGCACCTCTCTGGTCTCGGCTCGCTTGCCTCTCGCGCGTTCGATTCGCCTGGCAAAATCCATTTGCATATTTTCATCCTTATGCCTCGACAGTTAATGGCCCTGCCCCATGCCCCATGCCGCATGCATCGCGTACTCCAGTCTCCCTCCACCACTCTCTGGGCCTACCTTTGGCTGCAGCGGCGCGCTTTTAACGACAAAGTGTGAAATTTCATCGAGCTCGTTGACAAAAGTGGAATGGCAACAGAAACACACGTAGAAACAGCGCCAACAATCGCTGTAGTGCACTGAAAAAAAGAGTAGGGGGAAGAGGTTTCAAATGTGATAATCGAGATCATTAGGTATTTCATTTTAACAATTTTCTTTTCTCATTTGTGTCTTGCGCATTTCTTAACTTTTTTTTTGCACGTTTTTTGACAGATTTTTCTCACTGTGCATCAATGTTGCAGGTGCTGTAATAGCTTGTTGTTGTTGTTGCTGCACTTGTTGTTTTACAAATTAATTTAAATTATAGTTTTCTCCCTGTTTTGCTATCGCACATTAGCTGCTTAGGTGGAGGGTTTCTCATTTGAGTAGGGGGAATGGCGGAGGTATCATGGTTTGATGTCTGGGCATATTACATGCATTTCCATTTAACTAGCTAATTTAGTAGAAAATGATAGCCGCAATTAATATGCCATTGATGTTGCAACGACAGGAGCGATGTTGATGCTGTTTTACATACATTTTATGCACATTGTTGTGGCATTATTTTATGCAAATATCTAGAGACTAATGGAGCAGAGAGAAATGAAAGCCCTCAAATGGAATGAAAAATGTAGAACAGTGGTATACAAATTCACTCAATTATAGAGCATTTCCCCTAGATGTTTCGCTGCCATAGACCGCTTTTTTCTACCTTTTGAGCCCCTGTAATCGGTGGCTACCGTCTGCAGCTACTACCAATCCGCATGGTGAATGGCTCTAGAAATGCTCTCCGAGCATTCGCACAGTTCTCGGCATGCCGACTGTCGGCGCACGACTTTGGCTTCGGCTTTAAGTAATTTTCTAATGACACCACAGAGGAAAAATGACTGTCGGTGCCTTTGGGGTTACCTTACCCGCACTATCATCCTCCACCCCTTGCCTGTGCCTCACTATGCTGCTGGCAACGTTCATTAGATTAAAAGCAATTTACAGTAAAACTTTTGCCCACAAAACGCCTTCTGTCCCGCCCGACTGCTGTTCCGTCTTCTGCGTATGCTCCTGCTCATCCTTTTGCATGTGGTGGTCCACTGCTCCTTCTGCTGCACACACACACGTGCTGCAGCAGTTGGTGACACTCACTTGCTCCCCAAACGCCGTGCAAATGTTGCCATCCCCCGTCGCTCTCTCTGCACCAAGCAACCTCCTCTTTCGGAGTCATTTGGCGCCTCTTTGGTTTTATATTTCGGAATTTCACAAATTTGCGGATTTGGTTTGTAATTTATTAAATTTATCGCATGCTGAGAGCGCCTTAACAGGCTTCCGTCCAAGGGGGGAGGCATGACCAAGCCTTCCACTTACCCGAACCCAACCCCACCGCAGCGTCCCCTCATTCGCCTGCTAATGTCTGCGGTGTCGCCTCTGCCGGATGGTACAGTAGAGTCCTTCTGCTTTCAGCATCTGCAACATTTGTTGATGACAACCAAAAGACACAAAGTGCAACATTTCGTTCACTCGCTCACTCACTCTCTCTCTCTCTCTCTCATCTGTGTGTGTGTGGAACGCCCATTTAGGGGAAGTCATTCGGAGCTTAGAAGTTATTATTTTGATTTATAGAAAAAGTTGGTTAAGCGAGCGAAAGTTTCTCTTATGTACAGCCAGAGAGACAGAGAGAATGAGGCCATAAAATTAGGAGAAAAATGGGCCAGCACGGGGACAGCATCCACAACCTGCCGCGACACTCCACTCCATGAAACGGGAAACGGAGAACAGAGCACACAGATCCGTGGACCCGACCATTTGTGGCACACACAATTCTAATCAAGCGCTCAAAAAGCTCTCAGACACGTGCAAATTTAGCATTAGTTTCACTCCTGGGTGACGGCTGCCACCTGCGCAAGGACATCATTCTCTGGCAGCACTTTTGGCCGCTGTGAACCACTCGAACAGGGAAGTTCGTTGTGACAGCCACC